TAGCTAACATAATTAATTTTTTTAATTTATTCAAATTAGTTAATTAATTTTTATACTAAAAACAACACGGGGAGAAAGTAATATTATTTGGGAGATGACAGGTACATGAAGAAGAATCCAATAGGGGTTGGTGGAAGTTATCGGCAAGAGAGGTGTACGTGGGATTTATAGAAGTTATCGGAAGACGAAGCGAGACGCCTGAGAGGTTTCCAATATAACAAAGGACAGGCGAAGAGGATGGTGGATATGGAGATATGAAGGAAGAGAAAGATGGAGAGAGAATAACAGGGAGGGTGGGATTTAGAACACCCCAGCATCCACGCCTTGGCACTAACAACTGGGGAGGATCATCGCCGCTGTTAGCCAGGAATATACCCCAGGAATCTCTGCACCAGAAATATTCCAGTCTCAACCGCATCCGTAGCCGCGATGAGATATTTGCCACCCATCATCCCATTCTCAAGGAGGCATCCTCCACCGCCACCACCAAGAAAGCTGGATTTTTCAGCAAGCTGTTGTTTTTCCGCAGCAAAAAGACCAGTACTGCCACTGCCACCTTGGGCTCCAATCTCAGTAACAGAAGATGGCTTCCCACCCTGGATCCTCAAAACAGGTGGCCTAACGGCTGGTGTTGAGCTTCTCTGACTCCTCATATTAAAGGCACATCATTTAGAAATTAATTTGCAGCTTTCATCAATTTCCTTACCCTGTGAAGTATGAATATACATATTTGTATTGTATTAGGCCCTCAATGCTTGGTCAATTCATTTTTAATTTGACCTGGGCTTTTGTTCGCACCTTACTACCCCTGAGCAACCCATTGCCACACCGAGACTCGCAAGAGTCGCCAAAGCCCTCAAACACCCCCCTCCAAAAAAAAAAAAACTCGCAAAGGCTTTCTTTTCGGGCTCCCAAATTCGAATGGAAAGTGTTAGTTTATTTTACTCTAATACTGATAGGAGTTTGATCTAATAGAAGGGACTAGTTCCTCACAGCATAGTGAACTAAAGTTTGAATTCTTAATAGGAGAGGTATCCATATTTAGTACCCGACAGTACTTCGAATATGATTACTTCTAATAGGAGGATGGCATGCTTTATCAAAAAAAAAAAAATCAACGTATATAATTTCAGCCTCTCTCATGTGGGGCGTACGTGTTGAACACATTGATTATCTTGACAGCTAATTAAGAAATTAAAGTAAAAGGGATGGTGGATGGATAGATACGCGAGGACAACGATCGAGCTGGAAGCGCGCCTTTCAGTGCTGTTACGAACAACACAGATTCATCAACGCCGTTGAGGCGTCCTCAACGGCTCTTCCGAAGGTGCGTACTATTAGGTTGGTTAATTAAAGCACTTAATCCTGCGATAATTACGTGTTCGGTTGCCGAATGATCTGCCCTTTTCATGGTGGGTGCATGGGAAAGGGAACTGCTTTCTCTAGCTAGTGCAACCATTATCATTGTTAACTTTTAATTTTGTGGGTTTAGCAAGCCATATTAATTTTAAAACGCATAATTATCGACTTTCCACGCAACAGTATTATTTTGAACTGCATGCTTTTCGGCTATGGTTATTAATGACTACTTTGCTCAGAACCCTGACAAAAGAAATTTAAAACAATACTCTCCCATTCTATTTATAAACTTTAAATTTGAAGAGCTGTGTAGTCTTTCTTTATAAGATTCAATTCAAGATCTGTCTAAGCATCTAATACTTTTTTTAAAATATAATTTTGCCTTTAATTATTTATTTAATCTCATTTGTTATTTTCCCTTGTCACATTTTTTAATACATTTTTCATCACTTTTCATATTTATTATAAGGGTATATTTGAAAACAAGACTATATTTTTAACCTTTAATTAATTACTTTTGACTAATTATTTGTAACTTATAATAAGCACTGAGAGGGAGAATATCATGTTATCATTGATCTTCCCAGGGTTATAAATGTGCCTTTGATTTGCAGGGGATGCCAGCTTGGTTTCGGAATTCGGATAACAAATAACACTATAAAATAATTCTTATATTAAAGATCACAAGAGTCTAACACTATTAATGGCTGGCAAAAAAAAAAATGAAATTAATGGCTCAGGACCGGACTCCAACAGCTCACAAAATTAATTTCTTTCTTGATGTTCACGCCCCATGGATGTGTTGACTTATTTAAGAGATAGAGGAATTAAAATGATGAAAAAAATTGGAAAATAAAAACACATGCTTGGCCTTAAAAAGACCGAGGGGTCATATGTATCCATCTTAGATTACTTGTCCGCAAAAAGCTCAGCTGTGAGATATTCTTGACATGATTTGGGCTGCCCCAAACATGTCCTAGGATAAAGATGAGAAGCGACAATGCAAAAGGAACCGTCAACACAGACATCATCAAAGCTTGCGGGCTCTTGGAATCTAGGAGGCGAAGGTCCCAAACCTGGACCATAATATTGCATTTACGCTTTTTCTAATTACTGCTTGCCATAATAATTAAATCGACGTTTTGATTAAATATCATCATATAAGAGAGTATGTAACTACTACTATATCCGTTTCCAAATCTGTTCGCCCCAAAAAAAAAAATCCGCTTCCAAATAGACTATATTGTTTGCTCCGAAAAAATTAAATATATAATTCCATTCAATATATTACCTTCGATCCTCATTATAAGTTTTTATTTATAATCTATAAATAAAGTCTTATAAATAAGATCGGTTGTAATATAGTTTACATATAATCCATAACCTATGCGATGTCTCCCGGCCCCCGCTTTACAATAAAACTGGCTTAGGTGGTTAGGCGTATTCAGCACAGCCTAGTTTGACTTTACAATGCTTCCCTTTCGAGATACACACATATATATCCCTGTGACAAATGCACATTAAAAAATAATACACAAAATATGTATAAAATAGCCGCTCGCAGATCGTTAATTTTCTGCCGTTCGATTTCAAAGACCAGAGCAATGATGATAATGATCAGAATTTTACATATTTCGTGGACCTATGTAATTATTCTGTTTGGATTTTGACCTGTATGGTAAATTTTCAACCCGTTGGAGTCAAATACTGCATTGCATGAAGTTTGTTTTTCCATCGGAGATGATGGGGAACATTATCATGATGATCATCGTCATCGGCCATTGAGGAAATCCAGGGAGAGAGAAAAATAATTGATTCTCTGCATATTATATATAGATGAGAAAAAAACAATTATCTATAGCAAGCAGCATCATCATTGTGCCTCTTCAATTGGTAGCGAACCATCGAGGCAGACTAGGTTTAACTGCTTCGCCACAAATTGAACCCGTTCACGACCAATCCCGCATTGTTTACTCATATTAACGTTAATCAAATCAATAAAACACACGCATATATGATTACCATTTTACTAACTTTGTAATTTTTGTCCTTTGTTATGAACGAGGAAGAGTGACTACATTCAGCCAACCTGGCATCAATCTCCGAGACTACTCTCGCGAAAAAGACGCATGCATGCAAACCAAAGAAAGAAAGAAAGAAGACGACATAAGGGAAATCAATGACTGTAATCATGTTTTGGATCACAATGTTCAAACTCATAATGGGACTCCTAACATGATGTTGAGTTGGTGCGGGGCAAGAGTTTGCTTTATTTTTATTAAGTTGGCAGGACAAGAAAATCCTGAACCATAAACGGTCGAAGAGATTTTTTTTCCCCCCTTGTCGCTGTTGATGCATATCTGTCCTCAAATATCACTACTCCACCATGTTCAATTGAACTGAAGTGTGTGCCTATCCATATGTAACCGGAGAAGATTTTGGTGCCACTGGATCGGGGATTTACGATTCGATTAACTTTTAACTTTTCAGATTTCTATACTAGTCACATATATACACGATTTTTTATGCACTTATTTGCCGATTGAATCTTGTAAATACATAAGATACGTAGAAATCGAGTTGTTATCTTTATCTCTTCACATGGTGTGATGATGTAAAAAGTTCCAAAAATATTGGAAAATATATACTTGCGTTCCTTATCCTTCAATATATATTTTTTTGATATACAAATTTTAGGAAGGGGTTTGGGCTCAACCCAATCCAAGGGCAGGGAAACTAACCCCACTCCACGGGCCCACATACCAGGTAGGAGAGTACACATGCCTCCACCTCCCCCTGGCTATAGAGCATTAACCTCATGGGAATTAGCCTCAGGGGAATCCCGCTTCACAAGGCTGCGAATATGCCTCTCCAAGCCCCAGGGGAACCCCGTTCCTTATCCTTCAATATATAATTGATAGTTATTAAGAATGTTCTGTATGAATAGTTCTGTACGTATATTATTTGGTCTCCTAAAATATAGGAGTAATAGACTTCGTCATTACCAACGGATGTAGATTTTGAAGGACCGATCATGGTAAGAAACAAATTTAATGACCGAGGTAATATACTGTCATGCCCTTATACACGTTTTTACATGTCTTGAAAACACACACAGAGGTAGCTTAATTAACGGAACACATTAAATGCTTCCTGTATAAATGAATCGATGTCCTGTCAATTATATATCATGCACAGGGCATCGCTACTATTCAATGAACATGAATTAGTAGCTAGCAGCCAAACGAGAACTCATAAAAAATTCACATATTATTCTTAAGGTAAAACTTCAGCGGGGCAGTAAAGAAAAATCGAGGGTGGAGGCGGCCCAACTCAAAAAGCGATAAGATCATTGCTGAAAAGGACAGTAGGAGGGTTAAGTTCATTGCAATTTCATAAAACAAACAAGAAAGTTAGAAAATTGACGGAATGATAAGAAGCATTTGCTCCATGAAGCATGATGTTGTTGGCCATAAAATAACCCCACCTGTAAAGTGCACTCATAACCCCGTCGGATTATCTAACTTTCTCGCCTTCTGGTCTTGGGCTCATGGAAGTTGTTCTTAGCGTTAAATAGAAGCTCAGCTTGGTCTCGAATACTTCATTAACTTTAGTGCTTGGGCTTTTGCCCACCCTTTTATCCCAGTCAAGTTAGGAGTGAGAGAGAATCAAAGGGAAAAGCTCAAACGGATGAAATTTGCCAAAATGCGCGGTGTGGGTGTGTTGAACGGTAGAGTGTGATTGGCGGGGGAAGAAGCCTGTGCAAGTATTGGTGCTTGAAACACCACCCCGCGCGTAACACAGTGCGCATGTATAACTTGTTATATATAATAGTGCTCTCTTCTCTTCTACCCTTTGCACGGCCGGAAGAAAGTGAGGTAGAGCAGCATTTGGAAAGCTTGGGGCTTGCTTCTCTCTGAAAAAGCAAGCTGTGTAAAAGCCGTTCATTCTTTTCTCCCACTAATACGTACCTCAATTCTCTTTGTTCGCTCTAAAGCTCGTAATTTGCAGTCCTTTTCCTTTTTCTCTTCGGCTGCGTTCAGTTTTTTCCCATCCCACCTGAGGAATTCATTATGTACTCTCAGTTTCCGCGCTCTGTCTCGCCTCCATGTCGTCCGATATAAGCTAGAGTCTTCAACACTCATTTTCCGTTACAATCTCGGTTGGTGTTTTCTTTCAAATCCGCCTTCAAAAAATTGCGGAGTTTCCGGGAACATTCCATGAGCAATTGCAAGATTTGTGTGCTTAAGCACTGTGCTGTAGTTGTCATTTTCAGTAAGGTGGCGGTTGTTGTTCTCCTCTCGAGATTGTAAATCCTTCACAAGTAAATTTCGGAGCCTGAGGATACTGGACTTCGTGCTTGTTGTGGGAGTAATGGGTACGGATCGTCTGCTACGGCCAACAGTTGGACCGCCATTAAAACGGCGAGCTGGGTTGCGGAGGAAGCAGGCTGGAAGAGGATCTTATAGGGGAAGCTAGAGCAAGGGGATTATCGGGAGTTGGAGGGCCTTTGTTGTTTTCTTTTTTCGCAGAGTTAGTTAATCAATAACCCTTTCTTCGGGGCTTCTTCGGGTCGTCAAAATTCTGAGAAGATGGCTACGAACATACGTCAATTACTCAGAAGTCTCTGTTTAAATACTGATTGGAAGTACGCCGTCTTTTGGAGACTCAAACATGGGGATCGGATGTACGTCAACTTTTCCCTTGCTAGCTCATCCATCGTTTTTTTTTTTTGGGTGCCATTGCCAGCTCATCTATTGCGTCTGCTTTTGATTCATATCTCTTAATATTTCGGATGCTGACAATGCGTAATAAAAGGAGTTTAAGTTTCACGTTGCTTTGCATTTTTTGGTTGGGAATTTTACTTGGCCATTTTAAGTGCGGGACAATTTAATAGGATTGGTTATATTTGCTGGATTTTTCCTAATACTCAGAGCCCACGGTAATTTATCAACTGTTAATTGTATGAATGATTTTACAAAGAAAATGTTTGTCCTTTTTTGTTTTGTCCTACAAGTTGGTAATTTATGTGCGTCGGTTTTATCTGTTCGTTAACATGATTCCTGGATGATTAACGTATATAATGCTTATTAATATATAAGGGGACACTGAGTATCGAGATTAATATGGAAATAGTGTTTGCCCTCGAGTTCCTTCTACTTCCATTCAACGAAAACTATGAAGTTAGAAGTAACTCTTTGATGGATACTAATGTCCTTGTGTTTTATCAGGGTTCCCTATGTTGCTTTCCATTGTTGTGCGTTCTCTTTCTGGGCCAAGGATTGCATTTTTTATTGGCATCTTTTAAGCAGTGCATATGCTATATAACAGTCACCTGTGTAATGATCCAGTCTTTCATGCAAAATTTTGTCAGTTGATTTGTTGGTTATATAGTACCAGAGTAGGAAAGTTAAATACCATAGCGTTCCGTTAAATTATTTTCTGGTTGTGGAATTTACTCACAGGATCCTAACATGGGAGGACGGTTACTATGACAACCCTGATCATTATGATTCTTTAGGTAATGAGTGCTACCAGAAGACCATGGAACAGTTTCACAGTGGGAATTTTCCTCACGATCCTCTTGACTTGGTGGTCTCAAAGATGTCATATCAAGTATATTCGATAGGGGAAGGGTATGGCCAATTAATTTAACAAAATGTGGTGTTACTTTAGATTAATTTTATCTATTATGTATCCCATATTTTGTAACCGAGTTAAATTCGATCTACCTTCAGTCCAAAAAAAAAGAAAGAGAAAAGAAAATCGATCTACCTATTGTATTGATCCTTTCCTTTACAGTATTGTTGGACAGGTAGCTCTCACTGGGAAGCATCAGTGGATCTATGTAGATGATCATGCTACGAGTTCTGGTTCGTCCTTTGAGGTAAGGCGCCCTAATTGGTATTTGGTACTTTGTCCACAACTTTCCAATCATTCTCATTTCTTCTCCTTTGGTTTTTTTTATTTTAGTTCGCCGATGGATGGCAATCTCAGTTTTATGCTGGAATTAGGGTAAGTAATCTTCCTTTTTCTTTTATTAAAGTTTAATGGGTTTTGAATTAATAAAATTAATGGGTACTGAAAGAGAGAATTCTTTACATTTGCCTTTAAATTAGAATTACATTACTAAGGATCGTAAACTTTGACAATATTTTAAAAATTGTGCTTAATATGCTTAGTACCTAATGCTTAGTGAAGCTATTATAGTTCTCTGGCTCTGTGGCTCATTGTTATTTTTAACCAGATCAGAGCCATACTTGGCTGCATCCTTAGGCATTAGTTAATAGTTTGATATTGCAAATCTGTGGAGATTTTGATGAGACTTCCGGTGCACTTAGTGTTGGAAAACTAATGATTCTTATGGAGGTTTATTTCCTGGCTTCATTGCTTTAGTATTTGATCTGCATGATGATATTTCATTAATAAAGCCCTGTTTTGCCTTGTAGACAATTGTTGTTGTGGCTATTACCCCACATGGAGTTCTTCAGCTTGGCTCCTTAAATAAAGTAAGATGATTCTAGTCTATTTTTAGTTAAAATATTTAATTGATAATTAATAGCTTGCTTTACCTCTGTCGTCCTTGATGACAGGTAATTGAAGATATGAGAGTTGTAACTCATATCAGAAACATTTTTTTGACCAATCAAGATTCCTTGATAGGCCACGTTCCCAATCACATAAAATCATGTGTGAAGAATTCTCCTCCTCTGGTAATTTTCTGCTCCCACATCTCCCCTATATGTCCAGGCATTTTTCACTTTGCTTCTGGTCTGTAGGGGATACCATGTGCATGTGGTTGTGCATGTTTATACACCCATGTGGCAAGCAATGCAATGACATAATTATCATTTGACCTACATATTTTGAAAATTATCATCGTATATTGTATTTCTTGGTTTTTCAGCCAGATGCACCAACAACAAAATTGTCTTCAAAAATTGGACCTGCTTGCTTGCTTGATACAAAGGAAACCACACGGGGTGAAAAACTGGACATTTTAATGCCCTTTCCATGCTCTGCGAAGAACCTTACACCTCCTTCTGTTTATCAGAAAATGGCTGTTGATGTGACCAAATATGGAGGGCCTGAGTTTTGCAGTGATGAAAGTTTGGTTTTGCTCAAGTCAGTATCTAATATGATGAATGTCGAGCATAAAAAATTTTTAGATAAGAGACCTCTAAATGAGAAGTTTGAAGAGGGAAGCAGTGGCTCCAAAGATGTCAGGGTGGAATCGGAAAGAAATGTTACGTCAGTGCCACACAATTCAGTTATGGACAATAACTTCAGTGGTTCTGTAGGTCCATCTGAAACAATTGGAGCTGATTTGGCCTGCTTGCCTTCAGACTTTCATGATGTTGTTTACGAAGGTGATAAGTTGTGTTATGTAAATATTAGCCAGAAAGAGGCATTGCCTCTTCGCAGATCTTCAGATGCAAGCTCCCAAAAAGATGCAGAAAGTTCAGAGTTCCAGACTGCACCTTCTTACATGAGTACCTCAAATACACTGTTGAATTTCCCTGCTGGCTGTGAGCTACACGAAGCCCTTGGGCCAGCTTTTGTGAGAAGTGGATATTTTGATTCTGAAGGACAGGTGAATGAAGATCTTACAATGATGGAGATACCAGATGAGATTAGCTGTAGCCGGCTGACTCATGAATCTTGTCCGGAGCATCTTTTGGAGGCAATAGTAGTCAATGCTTGTCATAGTGATAATGACATTAACAATGAACTATCATACTCTGCATTAATGCAGGCTGCAATGATATCTGAAAGAAATCCTGAAGCTTCCATGCACAGTGCCCCAGCCATTAATTCAGAAGGCTATTCAATAGAGTCTTCTCTTGTAAGAGAGGACATATTCCACTCTTTGACTTCATCGTCGTGTCCTAGTTCATGTAGTGAACGGTTTGAAAGATCTTCTGAGCCTGGTAAGAGCAAGAAGAGGGCTAGGCCTGGAGAAAGTGGTAGGCCTAGGCCAAGGGACAGACAACTGATCCAAGATCGTATAAAGGAGTTGAGAGAATTGGTGCCAAATGGAGCAAAGGTAGTTGCCTTTAATGTACATTTCCCAAATTTGTTTAGATTAATTTTGACTTTATACTGTTTTGGTTCCTTTAATGTGGCTGAATAAATTGTGGCAACTTCAACAGTGCAGTATTGATTCACTACTGGAGCGCACAATAAAGCACATGCTCTTTCTGCAGAGCATTACTAAACATGCTGACAAGCTAAATAAATTTACTGGTTCAAAGGCAAAGGTACTGTTTCTAGTAATTCCAAATTTCCAATAGTTTGTCTTTTGGCCCACGTGCTAGGTAGAAATTAACTTACTACAAACCATTTTCCATCAATTTGGAAGTGATATTTGAAGGCTATCGTTAAACTACAAATGAATTGGTTTCAGTCTGTTTGTCCATCTTAAAGTTTTCACCAACATTTCATGCCTTTACGTAACTACTAGTGTAGATAGCAAGATTAGATTTTATGGCTTTATTTAATTGCTATGGCAAGTTTTTTGAGTGATGATTACCCATCAGAAGCTCCATGTTGATTTGCTCCCCGCCATCCAAAGAATCGAATTAAAAACGAGAATGTATCCACATGCTGTATTCCCATCTCTGAACTCCATAAGGGAAACTATTTTGCAGTCGCATCACTTGGAATCAGCTGTTCCTGGATGCTCTAGCTATGAACAGGGTTCGAGCTGGGCAATGGAAGTAGGAGGTCATCTGAAAGTTCATTCAATATTAGTGGAGAATCTTAGTAAGAATGGACATGTGCTTGTCGAGGTATGTTTGAGTTTGAGTTGCAATTTCGAGTTATTGTTAATGATTGATTTGAAATTTAATTGCTCGGTGTCATGGAAGAAGCTGCTCTGTTGAGAAACCAAGGAGTTGGAGATAGTGTACTGTATGCCTAGCCATCATCAGCTGCTGAGCATGTTATTCATATTCTTAATTATGCTTATGCTGCAGATGCTTTGTGAGGAGTGCAGCTATTTTCTGGAGATAGCAGAAGCCATAAGGAGCTTGGGCCTGACAATTTTGAAAGGTGCAACAGAAGCTCAAAGTGAGAAGACATGGATATGTTTTGTGGTTGAGGTAGGATCAGAATATGGTGATGATTTTTTTTCTTCGGGGCAACTGCTCACAATTGTAATCATTTGCTTATTTTCAAGTGGTTGATAAGGAGAAGTGATTTGTCACAGGGCCAAAACAACAGAAATGTGCACAGGTTGGATATATTGTGGCCGCTTGTTCAAATACTGCAGTCCAAGAGTACAGTGCACGCATAATAACTGGTTGGTTCTTGAAAACTTCTTGGCGCGCTTGGTAATGACGTCGGAAATCTTCTGCTCCTCCCCCCTCCGTGACCCAGAAGATAAAAAAGCTGCGTGGGTATGCACGATGGGGTAGGGTAAAGAAAGAAGAAAAAACAAACCTTATCAAGATGTAAAATATTGAGCCTTTATAGTGAGGCAAAGATGGCAACTTTTTTTCTTGGGTGCTGGTGGGATTGCGACGATGATATTTGCTCAAGAGTTTGACATTAGAAATGTACCAATGCGTTGAGGCATCTTAAAACTAGCGTTAATATGAGTCTAAGGCATGTTGGCCGGAAAGAAAAAGTTAAAATGCAAGGCATCAGATTGTGAATAAAGAAGAGATGGAGAGTATATTAAAAGGTGACAAAGTAGTTAAGTGGCAGCTCATTATTCCTCCTCATAGTCTAAAATGAGGGAGGGTCTTGCTGCCGTCGAGGCCTTTTGATCTGTAGTAAGCGAGGTACTCGCTGATGGTAGTTTCCCTGTAGAGAGGCGGGTCAATGGTGGACGTAAATTCCTCCAGGGGTCCATATGCTCTACATTTCTCCCTTGGATATAACAGACAGGCAGCCGATACCCTGGGGCCCACTTGTCCAGCCAGTACCCTATGCTCCACGCTCTTGAACTTGTCATTGGTGATCAGCTAAGCAGCATTAGACAAAACCACATACGTGTAAGCTTTCAAAATCTTAATATATATTAATAATAAACATACTCATTAGTTATGAAGTTTTGAAAGGGAAAAATTACTATGAAATTTCAATAGAAAATATAATCCTTGAAAAAGCTCAATAACAAGAGAGTAATACACAAATGAAAATTTTAATTATATGCTATTACGAGATCTTTATTTTTATGTTCCATTCCCTTCTTGATATCAGATAGCGACTCTCTTTTTAAGATACTACTCATATGTATTTTTTAAAAATTTATATATGGAATAATATCCAATAATTTAATAATCATACAACAATAGTCATGTCAAATCCGTCGGAGGAAAAAAAAAAAGGTCATGTCAAATCTTTGATCTTACTTTTAACACGTTGCAACTGAAGAACAGTTACGATTCTCCCATATTGATTCAGAATGCCCGGTTAGTTTATGGTTTTAATCAATTCATATTGGAGTTTGTGATGACTGCGTTTTGTAAGATTCAAAGAATAAATAATCTTATCACTTTGATAGAAGAGTATCAGGGAATCATGAATAAAAGAAATTGTCGTTTTCACCGGGGGGGAAAAAAAACCGATGTACCTGCATGAGATCTCCGATGTTGGCCACCAGTGCTCCGGGCACGGGGTTTATGTCAACCCACTGGTCTCGATGAAGAACCTGGAGGCCACCTACGTTATCTTGCAGAAGCAATGTAAGGGACGATGGATCCGAGTGCTTGGTGGTGCCAAATGTGAGATGTGGCTGGGGACAAGGCGGGTAATAGTGACACACCAATGATTCCCTTTTCATGCATCCTAAGCTCCCCAGCCAATCCGCCCTTAGCCCCAGTGCCTCTGACAGTAGTTCCGATACTCTCTCTCTCAGTTTCCTCATATGCTCAATGTACTCGCTCACCGTTTCTCTGCAATATATATGATGAAACATCTGCGTTTAACTCTTGTCTAAGGCTCATATGAAAGTATGAAACAAGCTATTAAATACCTGCATATTTGTGGGAAGGTTTCGGAGTTCAGGGGACCGTCCTGGAAGTCGAAGAGTAAGGTGTCCCTCCAATTTGCGGCTTTGGAGACGAAGAGGTCTCCGTTGCAGAAGTACCTTACTCGTGTCTTGCTGTCTCGGGAATACCATTCCTTCTTCACCTCCCTTTCTTGTTCGTGAAATTCTCTGATTGCTTTAAGCATGTTGTCCATAAGAGGAACTGGGACTCCATGATTCACCATCTGGAAGAAGCCCCACGTTTCTGACGCTTCACGAATTTCCTTGATAACCTCTGTCCGGCGAGAGCTTTCACACCCTTGGAAATCTATCACCGGCACACGGAAGCAAGTAGTGGCAGCATCAGCAACGGAAGAGTTTGCGAGGGACTCCGGTGGATGAATGAGGAACCTAGGAAGCTTTTCAATTCCAGAGTCCACGAGGCCCTTAACCCCAGCTCTGGTCTCTTCAAATTCCTTCACTTCCTTAGCTCTGTAATAGGCAGCGCCGTCTTCTTCCATGGGCATGACTTCCATGATGTTAAAACCAGGTTGAGATAAGTGAGAAGAAGGCCTTGCTTCAATTTGAGACGTAGGAGGCCATTCAATGAACGGTACAAGATGCCAAACTTTGAATGGAGAAAAATACAAATGGCAGGACAGATGCCCCTAAATCTTGATATGAACGCAGTTAAAGTTGCAAAGACAGGCCAGCATGGTGAGATACCCACTTTTGGCCTGTCTCTTGAAGAGACGATCTTTCGACGCTAATTTAATGTAATTTAATGAGCCAAGCATCTCTACACCCAAAAAAAAAAAAATATTATCTTGAGATATGCTTTTGTTAGATTTTTGCCTGAGTGCAGTAATTTTTTTTCGTGGTCAACAATAATCTGGTTTCGCTCGTACCACAAGGAACTTTTAACAGTTGTGGTTATGAAATTATTGTGATTGCGCATGTTGGCGGCTTAAAGCAGGCAATGCCATTTGAGTTTTTGACTTGGGTTCATTTATGACCCAAGTGTTTAAAAACTGGAGAAGGACCTTCGGTGGGTATATTTTAGTCAGAAAATTAATGAAGGGATCCGATATAATATTAAGGTGCAAGTCCAACAAAATGAAGACACCCAAACTCGCTTTTACTGTTTTAAAAGTAGGGGCTTTCACAGTAGTAATGAAACGGCGGGCATGAAAAGTGGAGTGATGGCGATCGAAAGCTCAAAATCATGTGGGGCAGGAATGTCGGTGTCGCTTGTTTCTTAAATATCAAAGTCACGATCGTCTTATTTACCACAAAAAAATAAAAAAAGTCACGACCGTCTTTACAGTTCAGTTTGTCGTGTTAAAGATGTGCTACCTCAATTAAGCTTTGATTACACGCTAATACGTATCGAGTCACTATATACTTACCTCTTGAGTTATATATATAATAACCGTCCCACGTCATCGCATTGGGCATGCATATATGTTTCATTCACTACTGGGTGTTGTCCAATTACGTACTACGAGTGCAAATGCCGCAGAGATTTTGACTGCTGAGTGTAAGCTAAAATCTTTTTAGAATACCTTAGCCATCAGTGTATATAATTTGGTTCTATATTCCTGTGCATCCGAAGCCAAAAGTGAATTGCCAGACGAGACCCTGGAAGCTGTTGTTAATATAGTGTTGAATGATTAGCTCTGTCACTATCAGCTTATCGGCAAGGGCTCGTGAGAGGAAGACATTCAGATTTGCAGGTAGCCAGATTCTAATGTGTTAACACATTAATTTGCTGCAGCGAGACTTAGAAAGAGGAAGTAAATAAGAAAAAGAAACGAAAGTTACGATGTGAATATGAAGGGACACCATGTTGTGATAGAGTTGTTGGTTGCAGCAGAGGAGATAAGATAGAGGTTGGAACGTGGTGTGGAGTAAAAGCGACAACGTAACGTAATTAATTCAAGTGGGACGCATAAGTGAGGGTTTTGGACATAATACTACCCTCAGTCCTTAATATAAGACTTCGTTTAACTTTTATTTTGGTCCTAAATATAAGACCCTAATCTACTTTGTCTCTAATATTTATGTTTTTTTTTTCAAGATAGTCCTTTTAACAATGGTAGTTCTAGCCAATACACTTGATTAACAAGGATATTTTAGGAAAGACAACACCTATTTATTACAAATAGCTAACTTAACTTTTTTTCTTAATTTCCTCAAATTAGTTAATTAGCTCTTATAATTAGGACCGGAGGTAGTATATGGTAAACCCTTTTGAATCATGATCAGTTACATATTCTATATTTGCTTTTTCCGGTGAGAACGACATTGCAGTATCAATCATGGATGGGGGCCATATGAACAGAGAGAGGACGGAGCCCCCCGGGGGGGTCCAACACCACTAATATGTGCATGTGTGTGTTAATAAATTTTAGTGCATATAAAAAGGATTCTGCGCCCAATCATCATAATGTTGGGTCTGCTTAAATGTGAGTTCTTTATCAATCGTTTTCAGTTGCTTGTCCATTGGTATCCTCTAGATCCTCCCGTTATTATTAATGTCACATGTGCCACCAATTCATGTTTGTCTTCTTCTTCCACATTCATGCCAGGTGCTCTTTAAGCATCATTATTAGGGTTACTCCCATTGAAAATGATAAACACAACATAACCTGGAAGTTTTGTCGCTTCATAGCCTCCAGCCAAATGGTCCAATTATCTGTTGGGTTTTTCTACGAATCAAGAAGTAATCTTTCAACAGTACATACATATCGATACCACCAATGTCTTCTAGGATTATTCTATCGAGTTCTCTGATCCCCAGACTTTTTGCACTACAAACGGTTGCTGCCAATGAACCTTCATAGATCACAACCTATGTCCTCGGCTGTTGCCGGAGGGTGAGGCGGCTCTCGCTATCGGAGAGATTTGACGCTCGCACGAGGGAAACTCTACGAGAGAAAAGACGCTTTCGCGAAAAGCGACCCTACCATGATTCCTGCCAATACAATACTTGCCACTTGTCGTTTCCTTTTGCGCTTGATGCATACCAAATCATTGATCAGGCTTCTACGTTGCAAAGGGCTTAAAAAATACAACGAATCAAATGTTTGGGTACCACCAATATAATGTATGAATCATGAAAATTAGTGTTATTATATTTACGTCCATTTCATGATGACTAAAAAAATCCAAGGATATGATCCGATCTTGCTTAATCATTGATATCTTTCCCAGCACCAGCTCGAATCGAATTCACGTCAAAGCAAAACTTACGTTATATTAATGTATTTATGGGCCACGGTTTATATTCCTAATCCTCACACCTCGTTGTTCTCATTTCCTTTTCCCAGGCAGTGGAATAATTTTGTTTATATAATACACGTGTTATGATTGTACGAACGAATATAATGATGGCATGACTATGAATTAAAAAATAAGTGTTGTGATTCTACCCCAAAACAAAAAAAAAATAGTTACATTGTAAAAATATCATCATATCAGCAAAAATAAAAGTCAATTTACTTTGTATATTTTTGGACGTCGAATTTTCTGGTAATTACCATAGCTG